TGACATGCAAGAGAATCGCTCGAAACTTTGAGAACTTCCTAGAAGCTCAGATAGCTGAACTAGGCCCGAACTTCTTAGAGCCCAAAAAAAAGTTTGTGGTAACCTACTAGGATAAGGATATAATGAGAGCCAAGAAGTAGGCTATGGTCGAAGTAGGGGGTGGGGTGGGGTTGGGGGTGATAAGAATCACGGTGTTCCAAATGTTCCAACTGGATCTATTACACGATCCAATAAATTTCAAGTTTGTCTCCTTAGCCACTCAAACATATCAACGTTTGTTGGAAGACTTTATTGTTTTTAACGTTTTCATTTTGTAATAGTCAAAATTGACTTCGTCTTTTGTGGAGATTAAAGGGGATTGAGATTGAATCTCGGCTACAAACGTCCTTGGGAGACTATAAATACCCACAATATGTTATGTAAAAATTAGATTGGTGAATGAATGAAATTGAGATCTCAAATTGAGACGTTTTCCTCAGAAATCCGAGCATCAATTTTGCTATTTCTAAATTTCAAGCAATTCTTGTGGTAGAATTGCATCCGAGCCATTCGATCCAGCCTTGATCAAGTTCAATTGTGGAGTGACTCAATTTAGAACAAGGTTCCAAATCTTGCTCCTAGTTCTTCGATCGTAAAAGGTAATCTAATTCTAGTCTTATCCCTTAGTTAATCCAAATTTCGTATAAGGAGGTGTTAATTACTTTGATTCAATAGTTCTTGCCTTTGGATCATTGAGTTGAGTATTAGGGTTGCCTTATCAGGGATGGAAGTACTCGAGAGATGTGTTTCTTTAGAGGGAGTCGACCCAGGGATCAGTTTAGTCTGTATTTTCATAAGCATTCAAATGGTCACCAAAGTTTTTCGCTTCAATTATTTTTTATAAGAAATAGTCAATTAGTAATTTATGTATATAAAATATTTGGTTAAAAAATAGATTATCCTAAGTCGTTAGCTTTTATTCTATAAGATCTAGAAAATCATTAAAGATTTATAATACGTGTGCAACCATATAAAATAATAACAATTGCATATATAATAATGTTACCCAAAAACTATAGTTTATAATTTCTCTATTGGATACAATGTCACTATATTGAAAATGCGGCTCTTATTGTATTATATTCTAATAATTTGAAAATTAAAAAAAAAATATATATATATATATATATATATGAAAACTTTCCATTTCTCACGTTTTATTATTATTACTTTATTTATAATTTACTTTTAATTTTTTTTATTTCGATTCTAATAATTTATTATTATTAAAAGGAGATTTTTTTTAAGAAAAGTTTGAATTTTTATGGGAAAATAATAAAATAATCGAAAAGCGGCAAATTACCAAATACACCTAACGTTTAAAAGATATTTACAAAATTGTCACGAATAAGAAAATTTGGTACACTACCGTAGAAAGTCAGTACAATATCGATGAAATCTTGAAATCTAACCGTTGGATCTTTTCCAAAGACATGCCAACTCATGAAATCCAAGAGTTACAATTCAACCTATGAGCCCAATGCACCAACTAGCAAATTCATCCCTTTTCACCAATAGCAATTGTTTTTTGGGATGACAAGGAACGTTTCTCATGAAGACCACGAAAACGATGGAGCTTAGGATCGAGGGTGATTGAATAAATCGTTATTAGGTATGTAGTAAGATCGAGGGTAATCCAAAATTCATCCCATATCGACCATCTCACTCAGTGAAACCAATCCCAGTAGCTTTGTGGAGATGAGAAGAAGAGTTTTCATGAAGAAATCTAGGCCCGATGAGGTCTCTATCGTGCCGTCCAATGAACCTTCATCTCTACATAAATATGGTTAAGAAACCGAGAGGAAGAATTGGGAAATTGGGAGCCTCATGTGAATTCATCCGTCCAAATCCATTTCTTAAACTTGAGGGTAAGATAACGAAGATATCTCACAAAGGAAATAAGGTTGGATAAGGTCTAAAATATCCCTACCAACGAGAATTTTTCGGTTTAGCTCAGATGAGAAACATGTTTTCTGGCAAACTCTTACAGTGAATATCTTGAGCTACGATCCACGAGAGAGGTATGAAATCAATCCCTAGCCCTTCCTTACACTGTGATCTTTAAGTTTTATGAAGAAACCGAGGCCAAAAGTTGACTGTAGAGGGATGGAGAAGAACGGTTTCAAGGGTAGTTTGCTAATGGCAACGCACGTCTTCTTCCTTTGAGGATAGGAAGATATTTATTATACTTTAAATGACTTATACACGATACTATGAAATATGCACGACTTTTTGAAAAGCCCAAAGCAAAGTAGCTTATACTTAAAGTGGACGATATCATTTTCAACCGTTTTTATTGTTTTAAATTATTTTATTTAGCGCGCAAAATATTGGAACTAAATTTTAGATTTATTAAATAAAATATATTTATAAAAATTATTTAAATAAACAATAAAAGGACCCGCGAAACAGAGCCCGCTAAAACTAAGCCCTTGAAAAATTTTCACGGCAACGAAATTCATCGAACCTCGATAACGCCTCCCGTGATCTCAACCGTCCACGTCGCTGATCCGCGTCAAAACAAATGAACCAATCATATCGCGCCGTTTCCATCAATAAATATCAAGTCCCTCGACCAGATCTACAGAACTCACTATTTGCATTCTCAAGGATTCCGTCTCTTAGTAATCTCCAAAATCTTCGGTAGCTTTGCAATGGCGCCTAAGGCTGAGAAGAAGCCTGCCGAGAAGAAGCCAGCGGCGGAGGAGAAGAAGGCCGAGAAGGCTCCGGCGGAGAAGAAGCCGAGAGCCGAGAAGAAGCTTCCTAAGGACGCCTCTGACAAGAAGAAGAAGAAGGCCAAGAAGAGCATCGAGACTTACAAGATCTACATCTTTAAGGTTCTCAAGCAAGTTCATCCTGATATCGGAATCTCCAGCAAGGCCATGGGGATTATGAACAGTTTCATCAACGACATTTTTGAGAAACTCGCTCAGGAATCCTCCAAACTCGCTCGTTACAACAAGAAGCCGACCATCACCTCTCGAGAGATCCAAACGGCCGTGCGACTTGTTCTTCCCGGTGAGTTGGCCAAACACGCCGTCTCCGAGGGTACTAAGGCTGTTACCAAATTTACTAGCTCTTAGACTGATGAATATTAGGGTTTTCTCGTGTTAAAAGCGGCACGACTCCTCGAAATTGTTGATTTCGCTTCCTTTTGTTGCATACTTTTTAGTTAAGTGAACGAGAATCGATTTATATAACATGATTTCGTTTGTGACTTACTTGATTCTGGCCACATTGTTTAGATTGTATTCTGGATCTCTATAGACTTGACCTAATTTGTACTTCACGAGTTTGTACCTGACATTGAATCTTATTGCAACTCATATTCTACGGTTCATTATGTTTTTATGATCAAGTTGAACAGATTCATCGCCTTGATGGTATACTAATTTAGTCTTGTAGTGCATAGACTGCCACGATCCTGATCAATATGCCTCATACCTGTCTTAATTGTTGGTTTCTCAACTTGAAACTTTGGTCCAGCCTATAATCAGCTTAGTTTGTCTTTGATCTTCTCAGTTTGTACTCCAGTGTGAATCATTTGCTCTTAGATTTCCTTACATGAATGTGCAAGTGATTGAACAAACTGTCGATTGGCTATCTGTTTTGTTCGTTGAAACTCTGTTACTCCATAGACTTGCAAGATTGTTCTATGATGCCTTCAGGATTCACCCAAACAAACCACTGCACACTGAGTTTGGCATAGCTTCCATTTGGTGATATGGGTGTCAAACCCATAGGCATAGGCATAAATCTTGATTGGTAGTGAGGAATTGTTGCACTCCTGCCTTCAAACCCATAGGCATAGGCATAAAACTTGAGCAAAGTTGTTGGGTTTGTTAAATCCTCGTCCACTCATGCTACATACTAAGAACAGTAGTGGATACGGCTGATGCTTCACCTTGAACCAGTTTTAGCCCTTTGGCTATATAGCATACAAGTTCAACTATTTTATTCACCATATGTCTCTGGCTCCAATTAGGCCTCCACTGCAATTGCCAATCACCTAACCTAGTACAAGTCGTTCAAAAAATGGTGTTCTTAGTGGCGGATAGATGAGTAACGCGTGAGAACTTATCGAGAGAAACAATTGTTGGAAATGACGGCTAATACCTTGTATGTTGAGGAGAAAAAGGAGGAATCTGCCCAAGGAGGGGCTCACATCTAATTAGCTAGTTGGTGAGACAATACTTACCGAGATGATGATTAGCCACACTGGGATTGAGACATAGCCCAAACTCCTACGGGAGGTAACAATGAGGAATTTTCCACACCATAACTCAGTGTTTTTGTTGCATCGTGCACCTTTGGATGGGTACTCGACAAAAGAGGAGATAACTTGCTTTGATGATATGAAGTTTTTTCAAGTATTCACCCTTATTACGTAATTACCTTTATACGAAGCGATTTTCCATAAAAACTAGGTAAAATATACTTATAGTCCTTGAAGTTTAGACTTGGGTTAGTTTAAAAAAAACCGTTATAGTCTTCGAAACTAGTTGACCGTTATTTGACTACATCGAAAGACGTGGTGGTAAGTTAATACCTGCCTGCGAATACTTGCTCCAATCCTACCAAAATAAAATGAGAAATTCTACGAGAATTGATATTAAAATTGGGGATAGAGAGAGGAAAGCATGAGACAAGACATCTCTAGACATCGTTAGATGAGATCGAAAAAAATTATTAATTATATATAATGTTTAATCTATTTTGTGACATTCCCTCTCTCTCTTCCCCTTTTTAATTTGTTAATTATCATAGTAGCATTTATTTTTATCAATATAATATCTCTAGTTGACTAGAACAACGTGGTCAAGATTGTTCCTTTGACTTTAATCGATTAATTTTGACATTGCAGCCATACCAATTAAGCTCCAACGAGTTGATGTTGCTTAGTCGCGAAATGCATTGGATGATCAACAAAAATCCAAACAATCTCCACAACAAATCTGTTTTTTTCCTCAATCGTATGAACAATTTCCACATTCTCTCATGAGAAATCTCAAATTTCCTGTCCCACCATCATCGCTACACGCTGATCTTTCTCCATCAATTCTCAATTCTCCACTTTTTAAACGCTTCTCTAAATCTGTGGACATGATTCATCCATCGCCAAAACCCTGTTTGAAACCCTTCCAATCCTCTCCCTCCGATTGCGTTTGCTCCAAAAGAAGCTTCGTTTTGTTTCTAGATGAGAGTCCTGGAAATTTCATCTCCAAACGTGTACGCAACCTGTTCTTATTTGATCCAGATTTGTTACGAATTTGATTCTCTGTGTTGATTGTTTTTCTTTAATGGCTCTTTCGATCGCTACATCTGCTGTTTCTGCTACTCTTATTACATCTTCGTTAAATCATGTGAAATCTCTCAGAATAGTTCCGTCTTTAATTGTATCGGATCGGAACCCTAATTTTCTGTCGAGAAAATCGCACATTAGGGCATCGACTATCCGGCCTGTTCGTGTGGCTGCGCCTCCAACGCCGCCATCGACGGCGGATTCCGAGAAATCTGAGGCGGAGAATTTGGATGAAGTGGAAGTGGATGAATCGGGCAATGAGAGCTCGTCTTCGCCGTTTTCATGGAGGGATAATTGGTACCCTGTTTCCCTGATTGAAGATTTGGACCCTGCTTTGCCAACACCGTTTCAGCTTCTGGGAAGAGATATTGTTCTTTGGTTTGATAAATCAAGAAGCGAGTGGGTTGCTTTTGATGATAAGTGCCCTCATCGCCTTGCTCCTTTGTCTGTAAGCTTCCTGACTTGTTCTTCCATTTTTTAGCTTTGTGAAGCTGCTGTTCTTGATAAAACGTAAAGAATTTTATGCACAGAGTTTTGATTTTTTTGCAAATTTTCTTTGAACAAACAGAAGATAATTTAGTCTGATGAACAGAAGATAGTTAGTAAGATGAAATCTTGCTTACTTCGACGCGATGATGTTATCTTTTAGGAAGGTCGTATAGATGAAGATGGCAATTTGCAGTGTTCATACCATGGATGGTCCTTTGATGGGTGTGGATCTTGTGTTAAGATCCCTCAGGCATCATCAGAAGGCCCGGAATCTCGGGCTCATCAGTCGCCTAGAGCGTGTGCTACAAGGTTCCCTACTATGGTGTCTCAAGGCCTCCTTTTCGTTTGGCCGGATGAGAATGGTTGGGAAAGAGCCAATGCCACCACACCTCCAAGGTATTCGATTCGGGATTTGCAGTTCTTTTTGTGTATTCGTCTTGATTTGTAGTTTTCACAATGATAGCACTTCACCATGATTGATCAATCCTTCATTGTCTAGGCTCCCTGATGACTTTTATAAGCCTGAGTTCTCATCGGTTACGATTCAGCGGGATCTATTCTATGGTTATGATACACTAATGGAGAACGTCTCGGATCCTTCCCACATTGATTTTGCTCATCACAAGGTAAGAGAGGGCTAAAGTGAGGGATCTTGTTTCAATTAAACTTGAATTTTCCATCAATGATTTCGTTATAGATTGAACTATTATGCTTGTTTGTGTATTTCTGTTCCTTCTAGACCTGGGGGATGCTTCAGTGAAGCAAAACATATTACATATCAAGAACCGAAAAACTTCGATGCTACCGGGCTAGTGCTGTTAAATATTTACTATGCTTTAGAAAAGATTGAAACAAGAACATTTCATAGGAAAGTTCTCATCATAGAACAACTATACCAGAAAATTTGGTTTGAGATTCCACATCGGTTGGAGAGGAGAACGAAACGTTTATAAGGGTGTGGAAACCTCTCCCTAGTAGATGCGTTTTAAAAACCTTGAGGAGGAGCCCGAAAGGGCAAAGCCCAAAGAGGATAATATCTTTTAGTGTTGGGCTTGGACTGTTACAAATGGTATCAGAACTAGATACTGGGCGGTGTGCCAGTGAGGACGCTAAACCTCCAAGGGGGATGGATTGTGAGATCCCACATCGGTTGGGGAGGGGAACGAAACATTTATAAAGGTGTGAAAACCTCTCCCTAGTAGATGCGTTTTAAAAACCTTGTAGGGAAGCCCGAAAGAGAAAGTCCAAAGAGGACAATATCTGTCAGTGGTGGGCTTGGACGGTTACAATCACACTTTTCTTTGGTTGAAAATCTCAATGCCTGAAAAAAAAAAAACATCTTCACAGGTTACAGGGAGGCGGGATCGAGCGAAACCTTTACCTTTCAAGTTGGATTCTAATGGTCCATGGGGATTTTCTGGTGCAAATAAGGGGAACCCAAGGATCAGTGCCAAGTTTGTTGCTCCTTGTTACTATATCAACAAGTAAGGAATTCACTCATTTCTTCATCCTGTATTCAAATTTCAATAATGCATAGCTTAAGATTGTTGGAACCATCCTTTGCGTATTCTCTGATATTATATACCAATATAAGTATGATGATCAGGAACCTCATGCAATGAGCAAAACATTAGTGGTTAGCTTAGCATAATGGCTGATAGTTTATTGAGAATGACACTTTAGTTTGGCTAGTGTGTCTATGTCTGACACGACACTCGTTAGTGCAACGGATGTGTTGTACAATAGTGGTACATGGAAGGTCCAACATTTGTTAGATAAGTATCGAACACTTGACTTTGAATAAATTTTGAGAGCAAAATAGATATCACTCGTTTTTAAGAATACAAATCCTTCCCACATTCGTATCCGTGCTTCTTTGATGCTAGTTGATTGAACTTTAGGGAAGGTGTGAGGCAGAGGAATCTATAGAGATGCTTGAGAAGAGAATATGATGAATGAGCTTAAGAAAAAAGGAACAACACTAATGTAAACTTTTCTTCTCTTCAGAGTTGAGATCGACACGAAGCTTCCTGTACTCGGCGATCAAAAATGGGTAATATGGATTTGCTCCTTCAATGTGCCAATGGGTCCTGGAAAAACTCGTTCTATTGTATGCAGTGCTCGAAACTTCTTTCAGTTTTCGATGCCTGGTCCTGCTTGGTGGCAGGTAAGCAGTGCTCATTATCTCTATTGTTGTTGATCATGCAATGTGTTATAATATGCGAGATCACTGTGTTTGACTTACTATTTTCGCTTTCGTATTAGTTGGTTCCTCGGTGGCACGAGCATTGGACGTCAAATAAGGTATATGATGGAGACATGATTGTTCTTCAGGGTCAGGAGAAGATATTTTTGTCAATGGAAGATTCCACAGATGTAAATAAAGAATACACTAAAATAACATTTACGCCAACGCAAGCTGATCGTTTGGTACTGGCGTTCCGAAATTGGCTGAGGCGACACGGAAAGGGCCAACCTGAATGGTTTGGGGCTAGCAGCCAGCAGCCTCTGCCATCAACAGTTCTATCTAAACGTCAGGTATAGAAAATTTACCTGCATCTGGATTGTTGTTATAAAATTATATGCATGAATCTTCTGATCAATCCAGAAGCTGGGTTAAGGAAACTCGTTGACCAAACTAATTCAAAAACCAAGAATGTGGTTTAGTTGATTTAGTGTAACGGCATAAGCCCGGTGGATCACAATCCACCCTCCTTCGGGGCCAGTGTTCTCGCTGACACTCGTTCCCTTTTCCCAACGTCCTTGTTGGCACACCGCCTCGTGTCCATCTCTCTTCGAGGCTCAGCCTTCTCGCTGGCACATCGCCCGATGTATGGCTCTAATACCATTTGTAATGGTCCAAGCCCACCTCTAGTAGATATTGACCTTTTTTGGCTTTCCCTTCAGGGTTTTAAAACACATTTATTAAGGAGAGGTTTCCATACCCTTATAAAGAATATTTCGTTCTCCTCCCCAACCGATGTAGGATCTCACAATCCACCCCTTTCGGGGCCTAGCGTCTTCGCTGACACTCGTTCCCTTCTCCAATCAAAGTGGGACCCCTTAATCCACTCCCTTCGTAGCCCAGCGTCCTTGCTGGTACACTGCCTCGTATCTACCGCCCTTCGGGGCTTAGCCTCCTCGCTAACACATTGTCCGGTGTGTGGCTCTAATACCATTTGTAACGGTCTAAGCCCACCATTAGTGAGATTATAGTTTTATGGGTTGATTTATCTCACTAAATATATATTTCGAATACAGATGCTGGACAGATTTGAGCAACACACACTCCATTGTTCATCATGTAGAGGAGCTTATAAAACATTTCAGACACTGCAGAAGCTGCTAATTGGAGCAACTGTAGTGTTTGCAGCCACAGCCGGCATCCCTTCTGCTTTGCAGATGCGTATTCTTCTCGCCGCTCTTGCGCTCACAAGCGCGGGTTTGGCTTACGCTCTCTTTGAACTTCAAAAGAATTTTGTGTTCATTGACTATGTTCATGCTGAGATTGATTAGCAGACAGAGAGAGAGGCTGAAAGATGCATTTTTACTTGGGTATAGTTACACGAAAGATGCATAGTTGAATACTTCGCAACAAAATTAGATTAAAATATGCTTTTTTTTCTTTTTCTTTTTCTTTTTGTTGATATGTTAATTTCCATTTGGAATTGTTGCAATTTAGTCGTTTATTTTGGAAGGAAAATGAGGTTAGATTGATTAATGAAGTTATATTATGTAACAAATGGAAGCTTACCTAAGTTACTAAGCATATAGTTTGTTTAATTTCTTACAAAATAATTCTAACTCTAATAGAATTAAAAGGGTTATTAGATATTAAATTTCATACCATGCCCTAAACAACTGATTGAACAAGGTAAGGGATATGAAATCCTTCTTTAAACTTAGTTGTGTCAATCACTTGGTAAATCTTCTCAAGTGTCAAACAAAGGACTTCAAAAGAAAAAGAGTCCGGTAAATTCTCAAATGTCAAACAAAGGACTTCAAAAGAAAGGAGTCGACATAGTAAAAATATGACTAAGACTCCGAACAGAAAATCAAAGGAGTGACATAATAAAGACTCCAAAAAGGGAGTTGAGCCTCGTAAGAAGGGGGGAGGTGTAGGATGATCAAAATCCCAACTAATTTGGGGAATGATTTAGGATGATCAAAATCCCAGCTAATTTGGGGAATGATTTAGGATGATCAAAATCCCAGCTAATTTGGGGAATGATTTAGGATGATCAAAATCCCAGCTAATTTGGAGAATGATTTAGGATGATCAAAATCCCAGCTAATTTGGATAATGATTTAGGATGATCAAAATCCCAGCTAATTTGGGGAGTGATTGTGGGTTTATAATCAAATAATACTCCCTCTATTAGTATGAAGCCTTCTGAGGAAGCCCAAAACAAAGTCATGAGAGATTATGCTCAAAGTGGACAATATCTTGCCATTGTGTGGGACAATATCTTACCATTGTGAAAAGATGTTCATATAACATGGATAGTTTCCACCACCACAAATCTTCCTTTTTATAGACTCAAAAATTCTTTCACAAAATATTCCAATCTTTTTCAAGTTTATTAGTTTTGCAATGAAAAATTTAGGATTTTGTTTTGTCCAAATGAGATTAAATCAAATCAAATTGATTGAAAAAACATTACACACCGTTAGACATCAATTTTATAGGAAAAGGATCATCACTAAGATATTTGTTTACACAAAAAGTTAAAAAACTATGAACATTTTAGAACATTAATAAAAATAGTTAAATTAATAAACAACCAATTAAGACTTCGAAAATAAATTAAAAGGGTCGGTCATATATGAATAATTGATGATTATACCAGTGATATTCTGTTCACATTCTCAAGATTTTTCTATCCAATACTTGTGCCCTACAAGTAATGTTGAAAATAACATTGGATAATCCATTAAGGAGAATCTCAACAATAAAGTCAGAAGTAATTGATGGCAGCCATGAAGAACAGGAGAGGATAAAACCATATTTTTATACCAAAGCAATATAAAACCACAAATTCAAGATCAATGAGGGCTTATGACTATGACAGAGATCTCACTGGGCCACAGAGCTTCCTGATTTTTCTCTTCTTCTTTTGATTTGTAGGGAGAGATTCCATTAGTGTTCTAGACAAAATATAGTGTTTCTAGAGAATAAAGATAATAAACCTATCACTTGGCTAGAATCTGCTGCTGAGCTTGATTCTCTTGCTGCTGTTGATAGTTGAGTGGCCTCCTGAACAGCATTATGTGCGGCTCTGGGCGGTGAATTGCATAATGCACCCATCCACGGCTCTGCTGAACCCCAATCGCTCGCCATTCATTCTGTTCATCATCACTTAACCGAATTACAATGAATTCAAGGCATCCAGATTCTATCACACAATCAATCAGCCACAATCTATGATTCCCAGTGTTGGAAACCGCTAGGGTTCACAGTACGATGTAAGAGATCGCTCTTCCAATTTAATTACATTTCCGATTAGCAGAACAGGATTTAAACACAAGAAAATTTGAACAGGATAATCATGAACATCCAATTTCAATTCCACACAGGAGAATCGTGAAATTACTTACCTCAGAAAGAAGGCGATTCTTGGGCAGAAGTTTGGCCACATCAGGAGTAAGCACGACATGCCTAAAACATCCATCAACAAAAACCATGAAAATCAAACCATGCCGATGGAGAAAATCACAGCATAAAATAAAAAAAAGTCCGTAATCGTAGATCAGACGAGGAAGAGAAGTTACAGACCTGTACTCATAGATATCATCAAAGTATTTCTCAGAGTACTGGATCTGACCCATCGCACCGGATTTGTGACAAAAAGATCACAAGCGCTTGTTCAATCTGAAGAAATCCGAACAAGATCAGAGAAAGAGATTCAAAATCGAAAGAAAAACGTAGAGAGAGTTGGGAGATGAAGAATGGCATACCTTGGAAGAGCGACGAAGAAGAAGAAGAAGATGAAGAAATGTGAGAAGTAGGGGTTAAAATAGCGTTTTGAATTTGGGAAACGGCGCAAATATGGAAAGTTGAGGGGGCCAAAATGAAAATTAAGAAATTATTTTGAATTTGCGGAGATGCCCCCCGTTTGAATTTCAAATTTCAAACAAAATTCCCGCCTTGGGATTTAGAAGAGATCCGTTGATACGCTCTAACGGTTATAGATATTAATAACAAAATTGGATTCCTTTCAATTGTTTCTTCAAAATTTCTAGAATCTTCTAAATCTTATAATATTAATATGTATGTCTGATCCATTCACATAATGTAAGACTATCAACGTCAAACATAAATATCTTTTTAGAATTATAAATAATCACGAGAGCCATGAAATGGATCCGAGGCTTGAGATCAAATTAGGCATTTGATAGTAGTCACTCTCAGAGCGAGCCAGGTTTTGATCGTTTTGATCTGGGGACCTGTGGGTTATGTTCATGGATCCGAGGCTTGAGATCAAATTAGGCATTTGATAGTAGTCACTCTCAGAGCGAGCCAGGTTTTTGATCGTTTTGATCTTGGGACCTGTGGGTTATGGACCCACCAGGGTGAAGAGTGAGCGAGCCAGGTTTTGATCGTTTTGATCTGGGGACCTGTGGGTTATGGACCCACCACCCTGTGTGGCCTAAACAAGCTTTATGACAGATGAAAAGTGCTCGTTTGAGCTTTATTATCAGAGCCAGGTTTCGATCCTGGGACCTGTGGGTTATGGGCCCACCACGCTTCCGCTGCGCCACTCTGATTTGTATTTATTAACAATATTTAATAACAAGTTTGTCTTTGTTTGTTTTATTATATCTTCAAATATTGGATCATATCATTAGAAACATAATATAAGGATTAATTTGTTACAAATTTTGACTAAAAGCATCATGTGGATTCTAGAGTTAAATTCGACTATATAAAAGATGAACGCTCAACAAATTTGGTGTCAATCGAATAATCAACGAACAATGCATAAGGTCGTACAACTGCTTGCCAAAATGATGTCTACTCGAGAAAGATTGGAAATACCTCAAAATGTATATTATAGGAGGCATGGTGCTAGCTCTCCATCACTCTTGAACCCTATGGCCTAAACAAGCTCTATAACACATACATGTGTCAAAGTGTGGTCGAGCGTTACGAGACGAGTGACGAGTGTTTCAGGGCTCTTCTTTTGAAATGAAATTTTCGAGGATATTACAAGACAATGCAAGTGGGCCAAAATTATGTCCCAACCCATGTGAGAGAGGTTGGATTATGCACCCACTATCAAAAGATAGATTCAATGTCCGATGAACCTAGATATAGGAATGTCCCAATGAGATGATCGACACATGGGTCCATTCCCAACAAATTTTTTTGAGCACAAGAGACATTAGACTAGAGGCAAGGTCGAGCCAGATGACTTGACCTAGTATGTGGTTGAAAGGTTCTTGATTGATGCAAATTTTGCAAGAGAATGTATCGATTTTTTTTATTCAAAGGTTCTTACTTCAACAAAAACTTAGATCGTTAGGCTGAATATTTCGATGGTCTTATGCAATCAGGCATACGCCCCTCAAATTGATCAGCTGCCAGATCAACAGGTTCCTTAACTTCTAGCTTCTGTAATGTCTGGTCTACTGTGAAAGATCTGAACCATGAGGGGCTTTTAAACAGTAAAATTTGTTCAACCAAGCCTGGATCTGAGGTTTCCATCCCCACAAGTTTGCTCAATAAGTTGCATATAAACTTCAAATTATGCAAACCAAACATAATCAAGATTTTCTGTTCACTCAAGGAAACTGTTTCTTCATACCCATTCTCTGTACAATTCTCTCAAACCAACAAACCGGTCCTCCCAAATAATTTTCAAGTTATCAATCAATTCTTCATCTTCGTCTTCGTCCCTCAATTCCAGGTCAAATACGTTGCAATCCTCAACTGCTTTATCTCGTGAAATCAAGTCAGGAAAAAGAGTCAAAGGTTCAAGAGCAAACAAACCTAAGGGAACGAGGTAATCTCTGCAGCTCTACCGAGGTTACGAGGGGAAGGAGAGAAGCAGCTTTACCCAGATAAAAAAAAACAGATTCTGAGCTTTCTTTATGTCATGTTTTCCTTATTGAGTTGGCTCGAGTCAAGATATGGTATTTATGGATATAGATTTGAATCCCGAACTCTGTCCCTCTGAAGCATACATACTAGAAATAGTAAAATTCAACTGATCACTGTAACTAATCTTTGTATTTCATGTCAGACATCAAAGAGGTAGATAAATGGGTACAAATATTACCTACAGACAGCAGTAATTCTGGAAAATCTCAGTTTGAAGATTAAAGCCATCCACAGGTTTATCAGCCTGAAAGTCACCATGAAAAGCCTTGTAATTGGTTAACTTCTTTTTCGTTTGAAATCCTTTGGACCAGCAAGTTTTGAATAACTTAATTTCATCTCCTTGAGAAGGTTCATAGCCAACTCCACCTTCCCAATCTTCATTGAATTACTAATGAGAGACTTGTAGATATAGCTCGAAGGTCGGATATGCTTAAGCTTCATCTCCCTGAGGAGTGTTAAAGCCTCCTCGACGTTTCCAGATCGACCAAAACTCTCTATCAAAGCAGTATAAGTAAGCAAATCAGGTTCAATTCTCATTGCAACCATTTCCCTGAAGTAAATCAAGCACATATCTAGTCTACCCACCTTCCTTAAGCTATTTATTAATGTATTATACGACACAATATCCGGGGCGATGCCATCTTCTTTCATGGAAACAAACATATGAAGAATTTCATCCATTCGACCTGCACGACCTAGCGCATCCAAAATGATGTTATATGTGTACAAATCTGGTCTATATGACAGAAGCTTCATCTGATTAAATATCTGAAGGGCTTTATCAATCTCCCTACATTCGGAGAAGGCGAAGATTATTCTGTTTATGACCAGGAAGTTTGGAAACGTCATCTCGATTATTTCTTTGACATATTCCAGTAGCTTGCTACTATCATCTGTCCTGGCAAAGGCCTTGGCAAAATTCATGTACGAGGTCGAACTCAACGGTTTACGGGAAACAAGAGAATCTTTAAATACTTGACATAAAAGGGTAGTGTCTCCTCTTTCACTTGCTGCAAGCAAAACCATATCATATGCCTTGGAGGAGCTAAGAGATATTTTCCTATCACATGATGATTTAAGTAGTTGAGCAGCAGCTGTAAGATTGTCTGATCTACACATCTTATCGATGCAAATGTCGAAGGTTTCGTGGCTACACATCGAGGCATTTTCCCTTGTGGCAGTAATCTGATTTAAGACTTCATCCTCCACCTTCTCTTCATCAGGAGAGATATTGGTAGTAGATGGCTGATGGCCAAAGCGTCTGATGGCATAAAGCAGCCAGTTTTGAGGGTTACCAACTGGGACGGATGTAATGCTATTCTGTATTAGACATGCAAAGACACAATTCGAAGCATAAGTCATGTGTATGTCAAGGTGGGTAAGATGTAGTTTTTAACAAAGTTTAAGCTCAGAAAGATAAATGATATTGATGAATTGTTAAATGACTATTGAGCATTCAAAGCCGGGTTTTCGATAATTGATGTGCACGAAATTTTATTTGGTAAATTAAGTTACTGAAGAAAGATGGGTTATATAAGCTCAGAAAACATGATCCATATCAAAGCCTGCCAATTACAGATCAAAAAGGATTCAAAAGTGATATGAATCAAGATCTCAATCATGCAATATGAACTTCAAGGAAGATGTAACAAAATGTTATTCAAATTACCACAAGATAAACTCAAGTGGCAATTAATGCCACATTAAAGAAGAATCAAGCTTAATCTTTTCTTGGATGGTTACAAATTTTGGGTGGATGATAATCTAGAGTTATAAAGTTATGGTGTTTCATTAATATATTTTAAACCTTTTTGTTTATATAGTGGCTAATTATGGTCATAAAGTATCAAGCTTAGAACTCTTGAAATGTCTCTTGGAATGTGAGATCCCACATTGGTTGGGAAGGAGAACGAAACACCCTAGCAGACACATTTTAAAGCCTTGAGGGGAAGCCTGAAAAGGAAAGTCCAAAGAGGACAATATCTGCTAGCGGTGGGCTTGGGCTGTTACAAATGATCTAAGAGCCAGACACCGGAAGAGGTGCCAACGAGGAGGCTGTTCCCTGAAAGGGGTAGACACGAGGCGGTGTGCTAGTAAGGACGCTGGGCCCCAAAGGGGGGTGGATTTGGCGAGGGTCCCACATCGATTGAAGAAAGGAACGAATGCCAGCGAGGACGCTGGACCCTGAAGGGGGGTGGACTGTGAGATCCCACATTGGTTGGGGAGGAGAACGAAACACCCTTTATAAGGTTGTGGAAACCTCTCTCTAGCAGATGCGTTTTAAAAGCCTTGAGCGGAAGCCCGAAAGGAAAAGCTCAAAGAGGACAATATCTACTAGCGGTGGGTTTAGGCCGTTGCATGGAAAGTCAAGGGTTTAGACCTGGAAAATGTAGTAAAAAGAGAGTTTCTGCTATCTTTTAGGCAATGCTAAGTTTCTTTGCAATCGTATGTCGATTAAGTGCTTAAAATCATTCTAGTTTGACATGATCGATGTTACTTATGGACTAATTAAAATCTCAAAGAAGTTTCTTTCGCTGGAGATATTTGATCAACACAGTTATTTGGATCTTACTTTCCCTTGAGGTGTTTCCTTATTGTTTTGAGGTTCTAGGATAGTTTAGATCTAAAGGTCTTATTCTTCAATAAGGTTGCTAGATTGAATTCCCAAGAGTGTCTTCCTACACGGGTTATATGCTATCAAAGCCATTGTGGTGGCCTAATCACTTTTATAGCTTATAACATTGTTTTCTTTCAAATTGTTTCCAACATATTTTTTGGCTCATGTTTTCCAAAGCATTTTTCTCAAACGTGGAAGGCCAACATTGTCCGCGAAGTTTGAATTTCTCACAACTAATTTGTTCGTTGGGATAGAACAAGTAACCACAATCACTGTCCCGTAATTGTGACAAGTGGTATCCATCATTTGAAATGAAATCAGCTTGATTTGGGAGTTTTCGCATTCGTTATCTAGGGGTTAGAATATCCATGAGAGTTATGAGGGTTCGGAGACCCAACTGGCTAAGGTTACTATATCAAAAAGTCCAATAATCAAGACCTAGAAGAGACTGAGAAATAATCTGGATTCCACCTATCAAGAACATCTACAAACTACTGCCATGAACTCTAATTTGGACATTCTTACACATCCATCAACTTCAGAACTTAGATATACAACAGAATTCTTCTTCCAATCTAATTGGTAACAAACACAGTTCACAGCAAAACAATCGATTTCCGGAGCAATATTACACAAACAAACAAGAACGGAAGAAATTTAGAGGTACCACTTACAGTGTACGAGTAATGCAGAACATTCCTAGCAGACAGCAGTCTCCACTTACAGTGTAAGAGCATCAAGTCGTTAATACAGAGATACAATGAAGCAATTAACCCACACAAACTGAGAATCAGATTCCCCTGAAAGCTAACCACAATCTCCACCGATTGTTAACATCAAGGTTACCGTCGATTTCATCTTAAAAAGGACCCATTTCTGGCTGCCCCTGTAATCGATATCTTAAAGCTTCCAAGCAAATGGAACTGACGCCCACAACGACGCTCAAACCGCCGCTGAGCTGAGACACACGGCGGCGAGTCACAGTCCTCTACACTGAGACTCACGGCGTCACGATTCAGCCCCCTAAACCGAGACCTACACAGCCCTGCTTCTTCACCGAAGCCACCCACGCCACTGATCTGCCAGTTTTCTTCTCCGTTCCAGCGCCTGCGTGCTATTCTTTTGCCCTCACGCTATGGCTATGGTGATTTTCAGCCCTAACTCAACGAAGATAAATGGTAAAATTACCATAATACCATCTGTATAAATTTACTTAAATGCCCAAGATATTCCTAATATTAAAAGTTTTTTTTTTTTGCACTTCCTTTTTCTTTTATATATAAATAAATAAATAACTTTTTATTTTCATTTTATAATTAAAATGAATCAATATATTCATTTAATAATAAATAAATTGTATAACATATATCCGGATTTATTTTTAATTAAAATTTAATGTGACAATTTTGAATTCTTTTTACCATATAGTGATTATACCAATATTAATAAATAAAAAAAGAAATACAAATTGACATCCTTGTTTCTCTAAATTGTTTTAAATCAAAATCGAAATTAATATTAAAGGTCATTTGTTTTTTAAAATTTTAAAACAATATAAATTAATATTAACAAGTCGAAACTTGAGTCACTTTTGATTACACATTGTTCAATACTTCGAGAATTCTATTGACAGGACTAAGTGAAAGTCGTGACTTTGATACCATGTTAGGAATCACACTGGTAAGTTATTGTCCACTCTAAGCATAAGCTCTCATGGCCATACAAATTTTCCAAAAAACCTCATATCAATGGAGATGAAGTTTCTTATATAAACTCATAATTTTCCCCTTAATTAGCAATACGATTGATGAACAAATGGTATCAAAGTCAGACACTAGATGATGTGCCAGCGAAGAGACTGAGCCTTAAAAAGGGATGGACACGAGGCAGTGTGCCAGCAAGGATGCTGGGCTCTGAAGGGGTGGATTAGGGGCCCCACATCGATTGGAGAAGGGAAAGAGTGCCAACAAAGAAGCTGGACCCTGAAAGGGGTGAATTGTGAGATTCTATATTGGTTGGGGAGGAGAATGAAGCATTCTTTATAAGGGTGTCGAAACCTCTCCCTAGCAAACGTGTTCTAAAAACTTTGAGAGGAAGCCCGAAAGGGAAAATCCAAAGAGGCGTTTTGATAACCTTGAGGGAAGCCCGAAAGAAAAAGTCTAGAGAGGATAATATCTGCTAGCGATGGACTTAGGCTGTTATAGGTCGACACAACCTTAATCATGAACATATCTTGACTGACAAGAGTCTACCTAGTATAGAGACATGTGATGTCACTCTCGTTTCTCTTCTGTGATCCTAGAAACGGGCATTGATCAGAGCATCCTCGTTTATCTTATGTACATCACGTAAGGATCAAGATAAACCAATGAGAATAGTAATAAAAAGCCAATTCTTTTAGATAAAAAATATAGATAATTTGTTGTAGTTGATTATGGGAAAATTAGAGGGTTGGGTTGTGAAAAGTTTCGGGTTGGGTTGCCAATCCAACCAACCGGAACTTTTGGGTTGGGTCAAAAAAATCCCCCAACCCAATCCAACCCAACCGAGACCATGTACCCCCTCGAAAATTTGATGGTTGAACTGAGTCAAAATCGAAATAATTGAGAGGAGAAGAATGAAACCCTTGTGTATGATCTTTCCTTTAATGAGCTAACGAGAGACTACTCTTGTAACAGTCCAAGCCCACCGCTAGCAGATATTGTTCTATTTAACCTATTACGTATTGCCGTCAACTTCACGATTTTAAAACGCATTTATTAGGAAAAAGTTTTCACACCTTTATAAGGAATGCTTCGTTCCGCTCTCTAACTGATGTGCGTAAATTATAAAAATTAATTAAAAGTTTAAAACACTTTCAGTCCTTAAACTTATATGAAATAACAATTTAGTTTATATACATTAATTTGTAACATTTATATGCCTTTAATAAAGAATTTTATTAAAATTAAATGTTGATTTTTACTATTTAAGGATTTAGACTTTGTAGCTTAAACATATTAGATTTTGATTGAAGATATAATAAAAAAGATAAAGTCCAACTTCTCATTAAATATTAAATTGGAAATCAATATATCATTCGAATAGAGTGGCACAGCGGAAGCGTGGTGGGCCCACAACTTATAGGTTCACATAATATATCATTAGATCAGAGTGGCGCAGCGGAAGCGTGGTGGGCCCATAACCCACAGGTCCCAAGATCATAATTTGGCTCTAATAATAAAGAGTAGGTGGAACTCGAACTTAGATTATTTTATTACCTAATAAAGATTAGGGATTGTGAAATTCCACAGCGAATCATTTTTAAAATTGTGAAGCTAACGGCGATACGTAACGGATAAAAGCGGAACCGTATTGAGAGATCCGACATGGATTGAAGAGCAGACACGTCGCGATACGTAACGGGTAAAAGCAGAACTGTATTGAGAGATCCGACATCGATTGGAGAGGAGAATGAAACATTTGTTAACCTTTTTGTCTTGATTCATGGTCTGAACGGTCGCACATACACTTGGATATATATTTCTCGATGGTGAGGACATCCTCGAAGAATAAATAATTTGATGACGTTTCTGATTGATTGTCTCGTGTTTCTAAGAAATGATTTGACAATTTTATTATTACTCTGTACTTTCAAAAAATAAAAAATACATGGTTAATACTAAGTTAAAAAATTACCCATAAAATTTGAATAAATATGTTTTTTATTTTTTTAAATTTAAATATAATATTAAAATTTTTAAAAATTTAAGAGTATTTTTTTTTAAGATAAAATACAAAATTTAAATATATTTTTCTTAATTTAATCAATTTGATGAGTCAGATAAGTTAAAGGCTATCATTTGGATAATGTAAGACCCACTTCCATGATTAAATTTTGAAATAATTTGAAAAATGATAAAATTGAAATAAAATGGAAATAAAGTAAAATTGAAATGGATGAATTAATACTTGTTAAAAAAGGGAAATTTTGTAATATTGTGACATTTTGGCTTTTAAAAAAGATAAAAATAATTAGAAAAAGTTTTGTTAAGTAAAATAAGTTTAGTAATTTGTCGGGAAATTTATTTTTCTTTATCACCTCTCAACCAGATTGATTTGTTTGGATCTTTCTATATGATGCTCGAGTGATCGTAAAAGTTGAAGATCGAAAATAGCTTCAACCTTTGATCGAGGTTATGAGATTTTTGTTTTGAAATTGGTATGAATTTTTCAAATTCTATGATACCCTTCTGAATTTAGAAATACTTTACATTGCTTGAGATATTGAAATTGGTATCTTATACCTATCAAGAACTTGTTGAGATTTGTGAAATGTTGTTTCATAAAGAGGAACGTGTTGAATTATTTGGTAGTTTCGATAAAGTAAGATCTTAACAATGACTAGAACTTACTTGTACGTAATTATGCGTTATAAAACCGTAAGACTGATGGCGATACGTAATGGGTTAAAGCAGAAATATTTGTTAGTGGTGAGGTTTGACTGTTACAAATGGTATTAGAGTCAAACATCGGGCGGTGTATCAACGAGGATGTTGGCTCTCAAGGGGGTGGATTGTGAGATCCCACGTTGGTTGGAGTGGGAACGAAACATTTCTTATAAGAGTGTAGAAACCTCTCCCTAGCATCTAACGGTGGTACGTAATGGGCTAAAACGGACAATATCTGTTAGCCCGACTTAGACAAACGTTCTTTATAGGAGTGTGGAAACCTTTTCCTAGGAGACGCGTTTAAAAACATTACGGCTGATAATAAACAGATAATATCTGCTAGCGGTGGGCTTGGACAATAAGAGAAAATAGTCTTTGGTACCCACTTCGACACATGTACATGTGTACGGAACAATCTCTTGCCATGTACCATTTGATAATACTAGTTTCCTTTTTTTATTGTATGAGCTCTAAAAAAAATAATAAATAAATAAATCGTTGCTCAAACTAAAGTCCACGTGTCTGATAGATCAAATTCTTCCCAATCCCGAGTGTGAATGAAAAAAGCCCTAGAAACTCGTTTTTTCCTCTTATCGTGTGAGATTTGATTCAAGAGTAATATTTAAGGACATTATAGGTTAAAGAACGGGACAGATCTTGTATGTATGTTATGGTAAAATTACCATTATACCCCTAAGGTTGAGATTTCCGTCCACTCCTGTAGATAGGAGAAAAAATTAAAAAGTATTTAAAAAGAAAGAAAGAAGAGTTTAGCACATGACAAACTGTGGTTAAAGAACTGAGCTGGCTACAACGAGACTTGATTGTAGCGTTATCGACATCCCCGAGACAACCCATGTCTTGAACTACAAGTGTATCAACTTGGACTACAAGTAAACTCAAAACCCAAATGCACATGGTGAGCATATATTCCTCTACTCCCTCATCAAGAAAGCCAAAACAAACACATTTCTTATCCACATATACACGACACAACAAATCAAACCCAACAAAAAACACAACATTTGTGGAAGAACATGAGGAGCAATACACAAGAAGAAGCATCATCATCAACAACCTCCATCATTGAGGCACCAAAACCAAGCTCCTATGGACAACAACATGGGACAGCAAAACGCACCAAGCTCATGAGAATCATAGGACGAAGCTTGTTGGCTGTCATGTTCCTTGTCGGTCTTGCTATTGTCATTTGTTGGCTTGTTGTCTTCCCCAAAACCCCAAATCTTATATTGGAAAATGGCCATGTAACACCCCATAGCTTAACTGATAGAAAGCTCAATGCCTCCATATCTTTCACCATCAAAAGCTATAACCCTAACAAAAGAGCATCCATTCATATGGATTCTATGAAGATGACACTTGATGATATGGGTCAGACGTTTATCACCACGATCCCTACGTTCACGCAACCGCCCGGAAACCAAACCTTCTTGAACCCCACTGTCGAAGTCAACTTCATATACCCTTTCGGGCAAATGAAAGATTTGATGCTATCAGATGGGTTGAATCCCGAACTTCACTTCTCAGCTCATGTTAGGTACAAACATTTAACTTTTAAGATACATATATAACATATCAATGTATCATCAAATTTAGCTTCCATCTGATTTTTGTCTTGCTCTATTTCTATCAGTTACATTGTCGAGAAATGGGCATCGAAACGTCGGTCGCTAGAGATCTATTGTG